CAATGGGGGTGGGGAGCCAGTAATGCTTGTGGGATAGACCTCTTCCTGCGTATTCTATGATGGGAAGCCCAAGGTTGGCGAAAGGTCTGACAGGGGAGAATGTTCTAGGGTGGAGAGGGACACTCCTTTGGCTGGTGGCTTGTTTACAGATGAGGTTGGTTTAGAATTCCACCATACGCAGTAGAATGAAAAGAGATCTGCCGAACTGAAGACGTGGGGGTAGCCTACGTGAAGAACTTGCTTGGTGTGGGCACCAAGATATGTCAATATTAGCAAGTAAGGGAGATGGAAAGGTATTCAGGGGAGTTGGTGGGCTTTGTGCCAGGCAGTGGGGAGCACTGGGCGGATGGAAGGTGGGTGCTGGGGAAGAGGCAGGGCTGGATGATCTGGTGGGGGAAGGAAAGGGAGAAAAAGGGGGAAAGGACTGGAGGGTGGGGGTGGGGTGGGGGTGGGAGTGGGGGTCGGAACAGGCAGGACTGCCAGTGCTGGGAAGGGGCAGGGGCCACAAGATCTGTTTCTTTAGCTGTAAAATGAGCATCTGGCAAGTTCCAGGTCGATTCATGCGAAGCTGTCTAGGAACCCCATGGTCATGCACATTTTTTCTTCTCAGGTGCCAGTCTCAAAGCTCAGTGGCCTCCTCTCCTGGGCTGCCCTTCCCTGACATGCATTTCACATGGTCTCTTCCCCTCTTGCCTCCCAAAATAACCTCCCCTGCTGCCCTCCCAGCCATATCTCTTTACACAGGCTAGGCCCGGCTCAGTTTTCTCCTGGCAAGGCAGGGGACATAGGGACCCAATGGGCCCTGAAGGCTCCGGTCAGATGGTCCGCCATTTGCATGTGGACTGGTCCCTATTTTCCCTCACTGGCCCAGCATCCAGTCAGTCCCCTCACTCCACCCCGCCTCCCTCCAGTGAAGAGAGAGGGTGTGAGGGCCCTGCAGAAGAGAGAATGAAGGTGGAGTGGTGGTGGTGGTGGTAGTGGGGGGCACAGGGTCTGTCAGGGCCCAGGGACTAGCTCTGGTCTCCTCTTCAGTCACCCTCTTCCCAAGCATGTGCTCACTGAAGAGGGACCAGAATTGAACTCGAAATAGGCAATTTTCACATCCCTGGCCTTTCAAGGAGCTTTGATGTCCTTGTTGGTGCGTTCTGACCAGTAGGGTGAGTTTTATTAGGAAAGGGAGTTGAGTTTTATCAGGAGGTCCTCAATGAATTGATAGCTGCTGTTGATTATCGCATTGTTATCTCCTAGCAGGACAGCACCACCAGGTTCTCAGGAGAAGATGCCACACCCTCTCATCCTCTAATTTGCCTAGACCTCCTTTGTAGGTCTCTTTCTCTCTGGAAGTTAGTGTGGTCATGGAAAGCCTTCTCCAACTCTCACAAGGCCTTCTTAAGGTCCCGGCTGCTAGGTCTCTGTCTCCCCAAAGCCACATCAAAGCCGGGGGTCAAGAGATCCTAGGCACTGAAGAGATGGCTAATGAGGGGATTTGTGGGAAGAGGGGTCCTGGGAGCAGCTGGTGCTGGGGTGGAGGCAGAAGAGAGAGGGAGAGGGAAGAGTGACAGATGCCTGGTGCTGGCTTTGGAGAGGAGGCTGGGGGCTGGTGGGCGTTGCAGTATGGGCCTCTGGGAGGTGGCATGGGACTGGGTGCAGCCTCGGGCCTTGGTGTCTCCAGGCGAGCTAGAACAGGCCTGTGGGGGAAGGTAGGAGTCTGCCGTTTGACCTTTATACCCAGAACTGGGTGTGGGGGCCTGCGCACGTTTATAGACTTGGGGGTGTCAGAAGGCACGGGCTGCTCATTGTGACAGGGCTGGGGAGGCCGAGGAGGGGCCTGCACCTGCTCTAGGAACTTTGCCTAGCGTGACTAGGAGTTGGGGCCTGTGCCGCCTGCAGCCCCTGTGCCGTCCCAGTGAGGTGTGCTTGTGGGGACAAGGGTTGACATTCCTGCTGCAGTCTATCCTGCAGGCGGTGCGGCAGCTGCACGTCTGGGTCCATGAAATATTTAAGGTGACAGGGATGTGACTTCGTGAGGCAGTCCCTTAACAGCTCCTGCCCTCCCTTGCTCCCCACAGGTCTCTGGGTAATGGGGCCCAGCTTTGTCTCTGTCCCAGCACTTTCTGTCTTTATTTATCTACGCGCCTCACCCCCACGGCCCTTTACTTTCGGAGCATGAGCTCACGGGCTCTTACAGCCACTGGGCGGGTGGCGGAGGCATTTGTGTCTTTATCTTATTTTTCAAAGGTGAGCGGGTGCAGGGGGTGCTGGTGGGGGTGGGTCCTCTGGGCTCCATTTTGGGAGCTTTTTGGGCTCTCAGGGTGACTTTGGGCACAATTGCCCTCCTTATCTCTAAAGAGAGGGGAACAGGTGACCAGGCAGGCCTCCTCCTGTCTCAGCCATCACTTGGGTGCTTCAGCCGCACACCCAAGTTAGGAGCCAGGAGTCAGAGACCCATCTCTGTCTTGGCATTGGCTTGTCAAATGCATAGTGCATGCATGCCCTCTCGGCTTTGAGGGATGGGGGAGGGGGGTCAGAGACATATGTTGTACACCCAAAGGAACAACGACCCCATCTAAGTGGTCCCTGGGGAAAGCGTATGTTCCAAGCTGGGATGCATCGGTTCCCCAACCTTTCCGGCAATGCCCTTGGAATCCGTCATCGCCTGTGGCAGATGCTCTGAGAATCCCCATTGGGGAGCAAGGTTTTTGTCTGCTGGGGTGGCTGTGCTCCTTAGGAGATGATTGAGCGTCACTCAGGGTCCTGCCTGGACCCGAGGGGGTAGTGCTGGTGGGGCTCCCCAGCTCAGCTTGTCTGCCTCTGGGCAAGAGGACTTGCCCCAGCTGCTTGTGAGCCTCGCACGGCAGGGCTAGGCGGCTGGCCTCTCTGGGGACGACTTGGGAGGCTCCCCCACCCCCATCTGTGTACATCCTGGGTTGTCTGCGGGAAAGCCCATCATTACGTTCCTGGCAGGCTTGGGTGCGCACCCCCTGCAGCTGCACTCTTGGGAACGGGGCCAGACCTGGTGATTCAAACAGAGGGGATGCTCACTTCCGAAGGGCTTTGCTTCTTCCCGAGCCACGAACTGGCAGGTGTGGAAGAGTCCGTCCAACCGTTGTGAGCCGCAGAGGGGCAACTGAGGCCATGCGAGAGGAAGCAACTTTCCCGCAAGGGGTACCACGGCCGTTGTGTTCTCTAATAACAGTTTGGGAGGTTGTGGCAGGTGACAGCTGAACGTGAAGTGGAGGCCTGGGTCCGAAGAGCCAACCCTTGAGCTGATTGTAACCCTTGGACCACCCACAGTCCAGAAGCTACAACATCTACCTGGCCCCTACCTAGCTCCTTCCACTCCCACCTTCTGACAGAATGACCCCCTCCACCTGACAATCCAAAGAGAGCAATCACAAACCAAACCCACAGCTGTCGAGTGATGCCTGTGATTTGTGATTGGCTTCTCACTCTGAGGTCGGTAGTTTGAACTCTCAGACACTCCATGGAAGAAAGGCCTGGTGAACCGCTCCTGTAGAGATTACAACCACCTCATAGCACTGCTACTCTGCCACTGGGGGTGGTGGGGAGAGGTGAGGGGTCTGTGTGCCTGGGGAGATGAGGCGTGCACAACAGATACAGCCTGCCCTGTGCCCTTGGGGCCAGGGCGGTGGCAGAGGGACCGAGGAGTCGCAAGGGATAGATATTGCCAACACATGGAAGTACAGGTAGCTACGGAATGAGGGTTGTTGAGGAACAAGGAAGGTGAATGCGACCTCAGGCTACCAGACCCCATTCTTCACCCTTCCCTCCCACCAGGGCTTCTGGTCTGGGGGCTGAACACACACGGCCTGCATCTGAATCCGCACTTCTGCCGCGGTGACCTTGGGCAGGTTGTGGAACCTCTCTGAGTCTGTTTCCTCACCTGAGACACCTGGTCGAGGACTAATCCCAGGCAGCCCTATTAGTGCCCGATATTAGAGTGAGGGGTGGGATGAGGTGAGGTTCAGAAAGCACCTCGTTTGGTTCCTGTCACCTACTAAGCTGTTGGTGGGTGGAAGTGAGCAGCCAGGAGCTCCTCCTCCTTTGGCTTTTGAGGCAGGAGGGATGAAGGCCCTCCCCGTTCATTCCACCGCCATTTTCAGCATGGAGGAAGAGCGGGTGTGGGCCAGGGGATGCCCCTGCCTCTTTGCTGCCAGATTCTGCCCCTCCCCACTCTGTCAGGTCAGCTGTTCTTGATGTCCAGCTGTGTCCTCATTAGCATGGATGCTCAGCCACCCTGTTAATGATTAAATCAGATGACTTTGACTTGGGGCAGGGGGATGGAAAATTCCCCAGCCACAGGGCAGGATGGGGGTGAGGTTGCCAG